ACCACTTACTGTTTTAATTAGTAAAAGAACCATTAATAATTAATTATAATAGAAACTCCTTATTTCAAACTAGTCATTATAAGAATGTACCACATAAAATAGCACTAATTGGCTTTTTATCAGTGTCATAGAAAAACGTCAAATTGCTTAGATTTTGACATATGCTCCCTGGGAAGCTGGTTGCACTGTATCTTCAAGGTGAAGCACTTTGTGCTTAACTCTACACATCATATTCATAGTTGCTATCATTTTTTAAAAATGCATTTTACATCTTGTTTTAAAAATTAATGTGCACTTTTTTTAAATTGAGGAAACTTCATAGAATATTACAGTGGATAGAATAAGGAGACAAAATATAGTTGTCTTTAATGTTATTTTCAGACATAAGCATGAGACTTTTGAGCAAATGAGGGTGCAAGGAAGTGATATTAATAATGAATCACAACATGAAAACCCTTCTGTGCATACATTGGAAGAGATAGAATTATGTTTTGAATCTGATGAAAAATCATTATGTGAAAAATACTTTGCACTTCTGAAATGAAGCAACTGAATTGCATCAATAAAAATATGATTTTGTTGGTGTAAACAAAGTTCAAAATCTGGCATGAAAGATGGAAAATTCTAATGTAGTTGAATAGAAACCTTAATCACGGGGAGGCAATCGGGTCAGATGGTGATATAGAATATGCTTCATATGACACTGAAAATGAGAAGAGTTGAGTTAGAAACCGAGTTGTATACTCCACTGTGTGTGAATGCTGCACCCTTTTTCTCCATGCTTCTGTTGGTGGAGATATAGACTGTTTCCAAGATTTAGCTATTATAAATTATGCCACTATAAACATGGATATACATGTATCATTGTAAGGTGATGACTTTAATTCTTTCAGGGACATTCCCAGGAGAATTAGCTGAGTCAAACAGAATTTGCATTCCCAGTTTTTTGAGGAATCTTCATACTGATCTCCATAGTGGTTTTGCCTGCAAACCTATCAATATCTGTTATTACTTGATTTCTTGATGACAATGGCCATTCTTACTGGAGACAGATGACATCTCAGTGTAGTTGAAACATTTGTAGGTAAATGGATGCCCTGGAGTCCATATTGTTAAGTGAAAAATTAGACACACAAGTTTAAATATCCCATGGTTTCTCTTATATGAGAAAACCAAAGTATGATTAAAAAGCAAAGTAAATCATAGATAATAGGAAGTAGGGAGTTCAGCTGCATGGAGAGTAAAAGTCAGAGGGAGTAGGGAGGGATGGAATGGGAAAGGGAAAAAAATTATAACATGTTATATACATGTTCAAACTCCCCATGGTAGAAGAATTCATTACATACTGCAAACAGGTACTAATAAAATATATATTAATAAAAAAAGAACTAGAAAGGGAACTTGCATCCCATGGAAGAAAGAGAAGACTATCTCCAGGATTCAAGAAAAAAGTGACAGAAAAGGCTAAGAGCATGGAGAAATGGAAAGGCAAGGAAAGGAGAAGTATGAAGTATTCGGCAATGCCAACCCTCAGTCTTCCAGGGGAAGGGATTTCACTCCACATATCAGGCAGGCCAGAAGCTCTGCCCACAGAAGAAACCCATGGTTACTGTAGGCTGGAATTCAGATGGAGACTCATTCAGAAAGTGAATCTTTCTGGTAGTTTGGACAAGGAATCCATTGCAGGGATCACTCTATATTCCAGTGACCAGGAACTGTCTAGATGTGGGCTTCTTGGTAGAGACAGAGCTACTCTCAGGGTCACAAGTCACAGGACAAGCAGACTTTAGGGTTCCTGAGGACAACCTGCTGCAGTGATGGGGGAACTTTAGTGTCACCAAGAGACACTCAGGAATGGGAGAGCAGGTTCAAACACCCTGACAAGTTTAAGCAGTGAGGAGCAAGAGCTTGAACAATAGGGAGGCCAGCATCAGCCCCCATCTCTGGTGGATGCAAGGCCTGACCCAGGTGATTTCTGAGGTCCTGGGACTCACAGAACTGGGATCAAGCCCACTGGATTGCTTAATTCATGTCAAGGCCTCCATCCATCACAGAGCTCAGTGATTTGTGTGTTTTCCCCATTCGCTGGTCACCAGTTTAGATTGTGAAGTGTCTCTGATTCAGGCAGAAAAGACACAGATCCATGGACTGAATAGATATCTCTTATTCTTGGCTATCACCAGCACTGTTCAGGGCTATCCAGCCTGCCACTCTGTGGCTCTCAGCTGCTGTACGCACAGTAGTGGCTGCCTGTCAGTCTCAGACCCCATGGATGAGTGGTTTCTGTAGTCATTTACACCAGGATGGAGAGGTGTGCCTGTGCTGCAGTCTTGACAATATACCGCCTGCTGGAGCCCAATTACAGCTTGAATTACCATGGTGGCCATCCTGGGCTTTTGTGTTCCTCTGTATTCCACCTCTCTCTGGCTGTGGTGTGCAATGGCCTAGTGGCCATGCTGGCCCACAGGGCTGTTTGTACTCATGGGTCACAACAGCAGGGTAAGGAGAACTCATGATAGGCCACAGTGAGAGCATAAAAGTCCACTGTAATAGTTTCCTCTGTCCCTTTATGCCCATGTGTACTGTAACTTTTGGGGGCCAGGCCAGCACACACAGTTAGCTGGCCCAAAGCTGCTCTCTGCTTACCTTCATTATTTTCATCAGGCTGGAAAAGTTCAACTGCACTGTGGTCTTGATGTCCCTTGGCCTCCCAGATACCCCCCTTCCACAGCAGGAACTATACTCATGGCCATCTGGGGCTTTCGTGTTCCCCTGCACCACTCCCTGGGAGTTCACAGAAATGTCTCTGCTCAGATACCTGCTGAGCCCTTGGGGCCTCTGGAGTGAGCAGGGCACCCAACCAGCCAGCAGGGCACAGACCTGTCCACAGGAGAAAAGGAGCAACACTGACAGCCTCTGGCATGGATTAAGGAGCAACACTGACAGCCTCTGGCATGGATTAAGGAGCAACACTGACAGC